ACCCCAAAAGCCATGTGAATCTACTGTGTCCTAGAACAAAGGTGAAGAGTTTATGTGCTGGATCCTCCCCATTTATTGTCTGTCGGCGATCAAAACTCCACCCCACAAGGGATTAATCTTCTTGCACTTTCACATTGCTGCCCTGCGCCTCAGGCCACCACCGAGCTATCCCAGCATCCCAAAGTACTGCCAAGGTAGCGCGTGGGTGTAGCTGACTCCTCTTGTCAGCTAGCATCACTCACAGAGATTCTTTAGTCCATGGTGGCAATACCAGCTGCCGTAGTTTTATAATAGTGTCCACTGCCCTGCCGCCAAGACTACCCAGACCCAGAAACATGACGAATCCTAAGGCCCTGAGCCAAGTAGGGCTATGGTGGTGAGTGAACTTGACCATCCCATCAGTAAGTTCAAGGCAGTGCACTCCATACCCAGCCAAACCAAACACTAAGTTAAAATCCAGGAACACTGTATTCAAAAAGAACCATAGGTCTTGAAATCTCTCTGTTTTTAACTCAGTATACATGAAACATAGTAAGACAATGATATTTGCTCCCTTTTCTAGTAACCAACCTTAATAACTCCAACTTGCCAGAAGTATCCCTGTATATTAAAACACAGTGAAGGACTGATAGCACTCCACCACTTGTAAAATGTCAGATGTTGGGGTTAGTGTTAGTGACCTAAAACATTAGAAACCTAGTTAGTTAAACATAAATGTAAGGGTCTGGGATTTTAGCAGGGGATTTTAGCTCAGTGGTACCACGCCTGCCTCACAAATGCAAGGTCCTGATTTGATCCCCAGAACCAAAAAATAAAAAACAAGTGTAAAGAGCATCAGAGCCTAGCTGTGGATGTAATTTGATCTAGTCACATGGATATTTGGAAGCACTGGTTCCTACTGACAATGCTGTTTATAGCATGTACCTAGCTTGCATCCTCTACTACACATGAAATTACAGCTCTGTGGAAGGCGAGTGAGTATTTAAGGCTGGAGAAGAGCTATTTCGTTCTAATCAATTCTACCATCAAGATGGTCTCAACAAGCAATTTTCCAAAATAGTTACGGCTTAGGCAAGTGCCTTTCCAATTTCTGTAAAGTAAGAAGCTTTGACCACACATTACAGTACATCCACATTTGTCTGTTACTTCTTTACATGAATTTTTACAGCATTGCTCCAAATGCGTGTGGCCAATATGCACATGTAAATGTGTCTACTCTGTAGATAAATAGGAATGGACACCTAAAAGAAGACACAGTGAGGACAGAGATGACAGGGAAGTAGGAGGAAGCAGCTAATTGGTCACAGAAGCAAAGAGGAGATAAATTGGCACATGTTTGCTATAGTTTGGCTGGGTGACGTTTCCCAAAGGCTGCTTCTCCCATGTGGCACTGTCAGGAGTTGGTGGGACCTTTCAGAGGTTGGTCCTGGAGAAAGTTTTAGGTCATTTATGATGTACCCTCAAAAGGGATTTAGGACCCTGGTCTGGTCTTTTCCTCTCTCTCTCTCTCTCTCTCTCTCTCTCTCTCTCTCTCTACCATGAAGTGAACAGGCTTCTTCCATACATACTGTTTTTCCATAGGTCCAAAAGCAATAGGGCCCAACCTATAGGCAGAAACTTCCAAAACTGTGAGGTGAAATAAACCTTTTCTCTTCATAAGTCGATTGTCTTGGGCATTTATTATAGTAGTAAAAAGCTGAAAACACAGTAGAAAAGAGTATAGGAAATTCAGGGAGTGATAAAGGGTCCTCTAAGCACCATAAATTAACATGAAACAGCAGCATAGGATGAGCATTCTCGAGAATATATCGCTTAGTGATGAGAGGCAGCATGAAGAAATGATACAAGAACAAAGTTCTGGGGAGGGAAGATTTGGGTTTGAATCCTGGTTCTGCTACAAGACCTGGGAACCACCAGATGAGCTTCAGATTCTGCCAAATATCAGGGAGCCATGAAAGCTGACTTAAAAGTTGTATCCCAAGTAATGTTGTATAACAGAGTCCTTAATAAATGATAAATGTTTTAAGTAGGGCAAGACCTTGGCATGGCTTTCTAGAGGAGCTTCTTAGAAGAGCTATATGAAAAGCAGTATATGGGGCACATCAGTGGTATATCAGTGGTTTTGAAGAGGACCAGGAGCTCTCTGAACATTGGATTTTTCCTCTGACACTCTACTAGCACCCATAAATCAGGATAACTGAAAAAATGTTGGTCCTCTTTCCCTCAAAGCTAGATGCTCCTTTTCACTTTCATTAATTTATCTGCTGCTATCTTGTTTTATTAAACAGTTTAATATCTACGGTGTGATCATCATTCTATGTAGTAACAGATACGAAGAAAGCTAAAACTGTCTATAAATTAATACCAATCATCTTTACAAATTAAAACAGCCTTTCAATCAACCAAATACGAATCTGGTGGTTTCCACTGGCTCCTAGATAGTTCTGATGTTTCCACCTCTGGCCTATCCCTGCCTTTTCTTATTTAGGCTCCAAGCTCATTGGTTCACCTCTCCTGGTTCAGTTTACTATACTTTACACAGATGGGCAGGATGGGTTCCTAAAAGTTCAATCTGATCAGATTTTGCTCATGCTCAGGATTCTCCCATGACTCTCTCCTGCACAAGACATTATAGACAACCTTTTCAAGGTCTCTTTCAACATGGACCTGACAATCCTGTGTCACCTTATCTGCCACTACGCCCTCTACATGCTTAATGCTCTACTCCAGAGAAAGGAACTATTTGTAATGCACAAACCCACATCTTCCGCTCTTGCCTACTGCAAAAATCAACAGTTGATCACAGCCCCACTTTCTGTTGTACTAAGTTACAGTCTCAGAATTGTCTTTTCAGCCAGTACCAATCAATGAGATCTGGGACTCCAGGTCTACTTTATTTGGTCATTCCTCCTCTAGTCATCTTGTGAGAAAAAGGAAGCAGGATCTGACTTGGGTTTAGACTATTTCATTGTGGCTGTCAGTTGCTTAAAAAGAAAAAAAAAAAAGACCTGTTGATGAACTTGTTTTCAAATGTCAACAATCTTTAGCAAATATAGACACTACCTTCCAGACACTTAGAAAAATAATAATATTATTGGAGGGATTTTTAAAGACTGAGTCACCTCGAGGCACAGGTGTGCAAGGACGACTACCACAAATCCCTTCAAACTTCCTTTCATTTATTCATCAGGACACTGAGCTCCAACAATCACGCAGAACAGCTCAGAGGTAAACTAGATAATCCTTAGACAACAAACACCATCTGATTCCAGCTCTCATATCAGGTAGGTACCGTGGGGGGTTTTCTCCTGCCAGTTCCAGCCAGCGTTGCTCACTGCCATTGAGACTGCTTGATGAGCTGTGCAGGTATTAACTATGAGTTGCTCTGAAGATTTAGCAATGAGATTTGGGGGTGAAGTTGGGGGTAGACACTTTCATCTCCTAAAATCAAGGAAGAAGATGTATGGCCTTAGAATTGAGAAACTGCCTCTAAATATGGTTTAATTGCAATGTTCTTCCATTTTTTCAAACCTCAAAATTTCATCTCAGAGTTTGAGTAGAGTGAGGTTATATGGATACAGATATATTTCCTCATGTCATCTTAAAAACTGTATCATTTATTCCTGAAGAACAGAGAATCAGGCCTTACCCTGTATCTGCTACAGTGAATTATAATGTACAGTGAGTAGGGGATATATTCACACTTAAATATTGGGGAAGTTTCAGAATTGTCCAGGAGGATGACGACAGTTAGAGAATATCTAAATGGCCCCAGGGCACCTTTCAGAGCTCTGAAGAATTCACTGTAAGAAATGTGTGTGTGTGTGTGTGTGTGTGTTTGGTGAAGGGCACAGAAAATTACAACAGAGTAGTTTAGGTAAAGAATATTAAAGTAAGATCTTCAGGTACCATCCATTCTTAGCTTCATCTCTTGCAAAAAAATGTTCTTGCTCACTTCACTTGTTTTTCTCAGATGATTGTCTAGTGAATATTATAAATTGTTTCCTTGTTGGTATTTTATTCAAACCAGTACCAGTCTCTCCACTGGTGGTCATGTTGTTAGGCCAAATGTATTTCTATCAAGGCACTGATCTGGGAACCTTGGGAATCATGAAACTCAGTAATAAGATCTACAATAAATAAAACATTTGAGAATCCCTCTTAGATAAAAAGCAGATAAATCAGTATCCTTTCTCAGTTATTCTTCACCCACTATACCCTAAAAATTGTTTTTGGGAGTGGATCTATTTCTGTGATTTCAAATGGAATAATATTATCAAGGCAATGCTACTTCCAAGTAAACCACTGAATCCACATTTGTCTTTTTCCCTGAGATGATTCATTCTATAATCATGCTGTAGGAGCATTTTACAATCAAACTCTTAAATGAATACATTATGGTAAAGTCAGGCAACTTGTTGAAAGCCCTGATTTAAATATCTAACTTTTGTAAAGAAAGATGGCGTTTAATAATTTGCATTACTAAGTTCAAGAGAAAATTTGTTTCTTGCCTTCTGTCTTTTGGCGATGAGTTCGTTCAGGTTGATCTACAGAATTGGGATAAAGGGGACATACCTAGATGCTTCCTCCAGCACCAAGGATTCAGGTCAGAGAATGGGGATTTTTAAACGAGATTTACTTGCAGAGTTAAATCCCAAAGAGATCTAGAGAAATAAACTTGCAAGACTCTGAGGCCTCCTGAGCCCAAGAACTTACCAGTGCACTCTGCAGGGACTGTTTCTTTTAGTGGGCTCAATGAGGTGGACTTGAGAAAGCACATTACTGTTTCAAACTATACAACAGGTCTTTTTACCCAAGAAAGGGGTAACTTTGGCCAGCAAACCTTAAATCATTCTAAGTAGCCTCCTAGTTGTAATTTGACCCCTTCAGAGATGAGTGTCAAGATCTTAAAAAAAAAAAAAAACTCTATGGCAAGAATATTTACTCAAAACTCGTATCTGCAGTGTGGCCATTCATTATTCATTCAGATTAAAGTTTTAGTGTTAACTTTGGCAGCAGATATACTAAAATTGGAGCAATACGAAGACAATGAGCATGGTCTCTGCACAAGGAAAACATGCAGCTTTGAAGCAGTAGATTTAAATCTAGAATTCTAGACACTAGAAAATGCAACAGAAGTTTCTGCAATGATGGTGAATGTTCCTTAATATTACCCAATTCAATATGGTAGCCCTTGCCACAAATGGCCATCGAACACTTGAAATTTGGTTATGGCAACCGAGGAACTCATTGTTTGTTGCGATAGGGCCTTACTATGAAGTTCAGGCTGACCCTGAACTCATTATGTAGTTCCTCAGGCTGTGAGGAACTAATGTGAAATGAGCTTTATTGATATCTCCATCACCACAAGAAATTAATGGCTATTCATAGACAGTGTTACTCTGTAGTAACAAGTGGGTCTCAGACTTGGTTGCTTATCATCACTTGGAGAGATTTTTAAAAAAGCAATGGCCAGGTCCCACTCCCAGAGATTTGATATGGGAAATAGATTGGTCATTATGATTTTAAAGAACACTCCAGTAACCATAATGTGTACAGTCATTTTTAGAGCTAAGTGTCTAGAAGAGATATACCCAGAGCCAACTGGCTAGTCCATCCATAAGCTATGATTGGATTTGAGCCTTTGAATATTACCAATGCAAGATACATTCGTGTTCCCAACGCAAGTTCTTCTACAATGTGACAGGCATGATGTGCAGTCTACTCTAATAGCATCTTTACTGCACTCTAAAATATTCATTATAGGATACTATGGTTTGGAAGTTACTATCAATGTGAAAGTAAATGGAAAACCCAAGGTGAGAGAATCTTATTGAATTCATGGTCTGAATACACAAGCAAATCATCCAAAGTTAAGGAAAAAAATCCTTGGGAGAAGTGAGTTATCCCCTAGCCCCCCAACTGCATCCACCCAAAGCACAGACCTTAAAAGAAGCCATCTCTGGCCCAAGGTCCTTACATGACACCACCACCTTCCACCCAAGACAAAGTACAGTATCTGTGAAATGAGCTGTGACATAAGTAGAGGCCACCAATTGGAAAGTCTTAGTAACAAATAAGCCGCGGGTTGTGCTACACTTGTGTGCCTCGTGTCCTGCACATTCTGTCTTACAGGAGCATGGTCAGGAAGAATGAGACTGAAGCCCTGCCTGTCAACATGAAATTCTTTAATTGCATGTTGTAGCACCAACTGCTTTTCCCCTACAGCATCCTTTAAACTCTTGCTCTGTAATTGCCTCATTTTCTTCATGAGTTTTCTCCATTCTTCTAAAGTAGGAGTCAAACTCTCTGAAATGCTTGAATTCACACTTTTTCTCCCACTAAATAACTCACTCCAGCAGCTGTCCTTTCCACAGCACTTTAGCTGAAAGGAAAGACTCGAGACCTCTGGGGAAAAGAAAGGCGGTGAGAGAAACCACGGCGAGCTGCTCAGCCACCCCTTCCAGACACTGTCGTACTACTGCTTACTGCCTTCATGGTTTGCTGTTGAGTAGTTCTGATATTCGGCGCAAGGTGCTGATGTCTTCAGGGAACATCTGTTTTACCTGTCTGGCCAATAATGATAGATAAATGCTTATACAAAGAATGATAAACAATGACCTGATTCTTCTTATACTTAGGAACGAAATCCTCTGCTAAATCTTCAGTTCTTACTGCATTACATTAAATCCCACTTGGAAAGACTATTTCACATACCTTAACCTGATATATTCAAAACATTGGCTAACAGGCCTGCTTTGTGAGAGGCCCCAAAGAGCTTTAGAAAAACCCAATTTGTGTTTGCTGTGGATCAAAATGCTGACAGGTTTAATCAATCAATAATAAATATGTGCTGTCGTTTCATATTAGGCCCACAAGATATTTGCCTTTAAAAAAAATACCTTTCACTATGAAAAGAATACACATTCCCTTCCAACTAAAGCAAAAAACTCAAAATCACCCAAAATATCACCCTCTACTGATAACTTCTGCTAACAATTGCGTATATGTTCTGTCCTCACTTTTGCTTTTAAATATTCATGGAGAGGGAAGTTAAATGACAGATATGCACAGCTTCTCCGAGGCCAAATGAGATCCACAAGGCCTTAACACTGCAGCCCTGTCGCTTGGGAAGGACTGATGTGTCCTGAAATCGTAGGCCCGCCTTCTCCCCTGCCATGCATCTATTCAACAGCCAGTTAGTAAATATTTCTTGGGCACTTTTTGGGCTATGCTATAAGAATACTAAGACATCCCCTCCTTTCCCTCCAGGGAGCACACAAGTCACAAGAGTTGTATTTATTCATTTCCTAGATGTAAAATACTGCGTGACTTTAAAAACTGCACTGTCTTGTAGTTCTAGAAGCTAGAAGTACAAAATCAAGGTGTGAACTGTGTCGTGCTCCCCTGCCATCTGCTTAGTGGAATCCTTCTTTATCCTTCCCCAGCTCCAGGTGGCTCAAGTGTTGGTCCAGCAGCTGTGTCACTCTGACCTCTGTCTGGGACATTATAGGGTCTGTTATCTTCCCACGATATTTTTTCTTTCCTGTAAGGACACTAGTCATTTTGAATTTGGGCCCACACCAACGAGCTGAACTTGACTTGATTATAAGAGCAAAGACTTTATTTCCAAATAAAGTCACATGCATTGATCCTGGGGGTTACGATTTTAACATATCTTCAGCAGGACACTGTTAAATCTAAAATGTTGAGGAGGCAAAAAATACACTCACACGATATTATTAGAAAATAATAAAAGGGGCCAGAGATTTAGCTCAGCAGTTCGGTGGCCTGCCTTGTAAGCGCAAGGACCCGAGTTCAATCCCCGGTACCAAAAAAAAAAAAAGAAAACAATAAAAGACCTGCACAAGGTTTTCAGATATATGACCCAATCTTTTAGCACTGCAGAAATTTACCAAAAGAATTATTTTAGAAGCATGAAGCAGTTTGCAGAGTTTATGGGTGTTCATTGCGGTAGATCTTGATAGTAAACGTGAGTAGGAGAATGTTGTGTGCTAAACATTTGTGCCCTCCCCCAAAATTCATATTGAAATAATCCCCTGTGTAATGAAGTGCAGCCTTGGCAGGTAAAGAGATCCTGAGAGTGGACCTTATGAATGGAATTTGTGCCTTTAGGACAGGAAGAGGAGCCAGGGTCATGGGCAGAGGCCCTAGCTCTCAGGCAGCGAACAACACCAATACCGAAGGCTTCTGGGAAAGGAAACGTATTCGGATTTGAATATGAGAGTCCTGGCTCAGCAAGAGCATGGAAGGTGGAAGTTGGAGGTCAAGGCCAACCCTGGGAGTCCACTAGAAATCCTGCAGAGACACTGGAGTGGGGAGAGGGTGAAGGACATGAAGCCATGGGTGAGAAGAAGGGAAAACAACAGAGCTTCAATAGTAAGAAAGACTTGAGATTCCTCCTTGAGAAGTAGGGAAGAGCGTTACTGCAATGAAGAAGAGGCAGAAGTTAGAGGGGGTGGGAGGTGTGGGAGCTGCCAGAAGCTCAGCTTGGCACTTGAGCACTTCTAATTCCCAAGGGACACCTAGGGTTTACAGAGTTAAAAACTAGGTTGTGGTTCGGCTTCTTTTTAAAGTCATAACTCTAATTAGACTTTTGTTTGAGGTCAGATTCTGACTCTTGGGAAATATTCCATGGGTTTTGTGAAGTCATGACTTTAAAATGTGCATAACTGTCACGGAGGATGCTCAGGGCCCAGGGCCTTGCTCCTCAGTGTATTTGCGAGTCCATTGGTGCACTGGAAAGAAATGAAAACCACAAAGCTAACGGATGGTGACAGCTTACTTCTTAAAGAACACAACTTAAATATAGATATTTCATCTTCACTGTTGCACACGATGAAAGGGAATCAACAGCCCTGGGTGCCTGACAGTCTTGTCTTTTCTTTCTGGGCATACTGAGCTGCACAGCCACCTGTCATAACGGCTACCACAGGCTGTCCCATGAGAAGATTAATCCACAGCCTCACTGTATCATGCTACAGAAAAGTGGACCTTGAGTGTCCGAGTGTCCGACGCATGACTAGGATACTGATAATGACCATTGACAGTTGCGGGCCTACATACAGTTGACATCAGTGGCCCTGCCAATTACTAGTTACGCTACCACAAACAATGTGCTTATTTTCACTGGGACTCCATTTCTTCCTCTATAAAATAGAAATATTGTAGAATCTCAAAAATTGTTGGGAAGATTTCGAGTGATAGTATTCATGAAGTATTTAGAATCATGTCTGGCTTAGAAGAAGCATTCAGTCAATGATAGTTGCGTACTTATTGTGTGAACATGATTTTGATGTTTTCCATCTCTTCATGCCAGAGGCTCTTCAACCTTGGGGACTCAAATTAGGCAGAAAATATGCTGTGAACCCCTAGGGGGAAAACTACTGAGAGACCAGGCTAGCTGCCCATCAGCAGATAAATGGATATAGTATATTACACAGTGTAGTATTCAGCCATAAAAAGAACACAGTTTTGTCATCTGCAGAAAAATGGATAGATCTGGAGGTGAGTATGCTGAGTGAAAAAAGCCAGACTCAGAAGGACAAATGTTGCATGTTCTCCCTAATATGTGGAATCTAAAAATGTGACAAAAAAGAAAGAGACTATTATTACACAAAAGGTAAGAAAGAAGGGGGAGGGATACATGGGGTCTAATACAATAGGGGGCGTGAGTATGATTGAAATATATTACACATGTTAACGCCCCAAGAGTGTGTCAGACTAGGGAGGAAGGTGGGGTGAAGAGGGTGATGGGGGAAACGATTCAAGTATGTTACTTGCACGTACAAATCTGCCCACATGAAACCATTAATCTGTACAACCAGTATGTACTAATAGAAAATGTGGGGGAAACACCCCCAAAAAACTATTGGGAGAATTAAACAAAGGAAGATGTATCTGTCACCTAGCCGGGGACATATGCACCTCCTTGGGTCTAGCGTCGCTGCTGCTCTGCAACCCTCCTGAAGATCCTAGAGGGAGAAGCACAAGTGCTTGCTTCTCCTTTTCACCAGAACACACCTTGCTGATGGTGCCTGGCACGGCCCAGAGCACCTTACTCTTAGCTCTGCCTCCTCTGACAGGA